AGAGGGAAGGGAAGTGAGACAGCAAGTCACCAGGTCCAGGACTCAAACCACGGTTGGCATGTGGGGCTGAGTGCCTCAACCACCACGCCAAAGCATGTCCTTTTTACTACTCTAACGCGTTGGCACATATTCCTAACTCATTCTCCAGACAGTGTCTACCAGGCCGGACTCTGCAGGCTCCAAGCGCGAGGACTGGTTTCCCGCACGCCCACCACCACGGAGTGCTGGCGTGCTTTCTCATCTCTCCGGGAAACCTTGCTGGAAAAAGCTATCTCATCTCAACTGCGATCATTTGGCTACTAGATTCAATAAATAATCATTCATTTATATTCTTAGCTTACTACTCTATTAGGATATTTACTATTGTCTTACTTAGTAAGTAAGTTCTGTGTGTCTCTATGGTCAACGTTGGGTCCAAAACAAAACTGCAATTATTTTGAGGTTGTCATTTTGTCTTTTAACTTGGTATTACTTGGTTTTGCTGTACAGAAATCTGAAATTCACATTGTGTAACATTTCTCAGGTTTCTACACTCTTGGCTTAGTTTCAAGCATAGGAGATTCTTCTCCACTCCAAATTGATGGTGTTTTTCATCTCCTCTTTTTAGACTTCCGTAAAACTCTTTCTCATCTGTCCCTTCTCTGATTTCTATTCTCTCTGGTCTTTTATCCTCTGACGTTTTTTCCTAATTATTCGAGATACTATTTAACAGAAGTCCTGACTTTCAAAGCTCTGCTTAGACTGTCAGACCCTTTTCAGAATCTCTTGCTGGCATCTGTAGTAATTCTGTCTGTAAGTCAGACTTCTTTGGAGCCTTTGGGCAGATGTCTTATTCTTTGCTCCTCCATGTTGTCACAGGCTGACTTGCCTAGTCCTGGGATAAGAAGTGTCCTGGGACCAGCAGTTAGCATAATGGCTATGTTGCTGAACTCCCATGTAGTCAACCGTGGTTCAAGTCCAGACCCAGTGGCTTAAACTCACGCCAGGCATGTGTGCGTGCATGCCCAAGATCCCGAGAGGACGATGGAGGAGAAGGGATTATGGTGTGGTCATCCCCCTGGGGGATGATTTCTTGCTTTTTGTCTTTTTGTCTCTCTGTCTCTCTCTGTCTTTCTGGCAAGGGCACGTGCCCTATAGCAAAAATCTCTCCAAAAAAAAAAAAAGAAGAACAAGAAGCGTCCTTTCCAGGCCAGCGGTCGCAGTAGGGTGACTGCCCTCGGCCCTGGATTGAGCTCTAGGTGATTCCCACCTCCGGTCCCCACCAGGTGACAGGCAGGCTGCTGTCACCTCCTCACCCAGTGGTCTCCATGCTGTGCACCGTGGCTGGACTGCCACCCATTCACCCCACTCACGACCTGCCCTGAACCAAACCTGCCTGAAGACCTGCCTGGGACCTCTCAGCAGAGCTCATCCATCTGTGAAAGGAGAGGAGGGCGCTGAGTCCAAAGGGAAACCCTTTTAAATGTGTGCGTGTGTTCTGGGGTTTTTGGGTTTTGGTTTTTCTGTGATACTATGCTTATTAAAAAATAAAAGGCTTTCAAAATCTTCTGTTTATTCAAAGACACTAATAACAAAGTGAAGATGCAAGCTACAACTGGGAAAAAATATTTGCAATGCATATAAACAGCAAAGGATTCATGTCCAGGATCCTATCATTTAAAAAAAAATTTTTTTTTAATAAAACAAAATAAATGAAACAACAGTTTATAAAATATAAACAACAAATTATGAATAATCAGGAAATTGCAAATGAAGATCTCATTGAGACATTTTATTTATTTCAGGTTGGCAGAAATGAAAAGCCTGACAGTGTAGAAGGTGAGGGACCACAGGAAGCCCATGCCCTGCTAATGGAGTATAACCTGGAAGAAGCCCTCGAAGTATTCATCCCAGGCAAATGAAGTGAACAGGGCACTCGTTCTATGCCCCAGCAAGTCCACTCACATGGGTGCATAAGAAATGCTGGCACATGGGCTGGGTGAGAAATATTTATGTGGTATTACTTGGAGTTGGGGAGAAAATTAATATGCCTCAATAGGATAATGAAGAAATGATTGGTGGTACATTTATGTAGTAGGGCACTATATCGTATCGAAAGAAATTGAGCTAAATAGCAAGTTGTCAGGAAAGTCATGATGTATTTTTGTATGTTTTTCTATTCAACCTAAAATATCAGCATGGATAAACCCCAGAAAAAGAACAAGAGAATGTTCAGTGGAAAAGCAAACTGTGAAAGTATATTATAGTATGAGATAAACCCCAGAAAAAGAACAAGAGAATGTTGAATGGAAAAGCAAATTGTGAAAGTATATTATAGTATGGGTATAAAAAAAGTCTGTAAGACTCTACCATATATTACTGATGGATATTTGTGTATTTGTGTGTGTGTGTGTGTGTGTGTGTGTGTGTGTGTGTGTGTCTGTGTGTCTGTGTCTGTGTGTGTACATGCACATGCACCCAGCATGAGTTTCAAGCAACTTGGGTCTGGGACTTGAACTGTGGTTGGCCATGTGGGAGTCTAGCACCTTAACCACTACATTGCCTGCTGGGTCTGAAATTTTAAAAAATTTTCTACCCTGTGAATAGCCCTTTGTAACTTTTTTAACGAATAGTGCATTAGAATTTTGTTATTTACAAGCATGCTAGATTACTGTTAAACACCGTTAGACATAGTAGACCTTACATGGAGAGCTGAGAAGTGAGGAAAATGATTAGGAAGCCACAATATAGTCATGATGGCCATACATGTTGCACGTTGGTCTTGAGCCAAACACAAGACTCGTGCTTACATCCATTCTTTCCACAAATCCTCAGAACAAACCTGAGAGGCTGGTACCACTGCGGAGCCCCTCACAGACACTGAGCGTGAACAGAG